TTAAAATTTTTCGTTCTTTTATTGTAGTTTTCATTTTAGAAAATTCTATAACTCTTGATTTAATAAGATTTGATTTATAATAAAGCATTTAATTCAAAATTAAAAAATAATTATTATTAAAGTTTTTCATATTTTATACTTTTAAAATCAATATTTAAATTAAAATCATTCAGATGAATACATTTAAATTATATTTAAAATACATATTTATATTTTCTTCATGTAATTCTATTATAATATTATAATTGTGAAATAAAGATAAATTTTAATAGTATTTGTTCTTCATTTAAATTTTTGTGAGTGTAACGAATTTACTTCGGCATATAAATTAATTACAAGTTCTGATTGATAATTTATTTTATTATAAGATAATTATATTCTGCAGAAATTGAGGTAGCGATAAATAAATAAAAAATTATATCTCATATAATATATTTAATTGTATTTAATTTAATAGTGCATAAGTCGATAAATATAAGTTTATTTTATTCTTTAATATCTATTTATTTTCACTTTATATATAATATAAATTTGAAATAAATGTTTTAATGAATTGATTGATTATTTTTATAAGATTTTGAATCAATTATCAACGTACGAATAGAATTACAGTCAAAGTCCATGACTTAGAACATCAAAATCATCACATAGAAAATTAAAATACCCTATATTATAGAAACGTATGCGGTTAGTTAGTCGATTCATAAGTATTCATTATTATTTATAATCGTGTTTTTTAATTCCAAATTACAATGTCAATTTTAATACATTGAGGCATTGCATTGGAGATCCGCTGATTATTTTACAAAAATTAATAATTTAAAGTCATAAATTAAGAATGATAATAATAATAATAAAAATTTTTATTATATTAGTATATACGCGTATATGTAATATGTAGTACTCTAATAGTTTAAAATTTAAATGATTCGATTTTCCAAGTATGAATGGCATGCCGAAAGCAGAATCGAAAACCGAACAGCACAATCGTACGAAGGAAGGAAGAATGAATAAAGTCTACTACTACGATTATCGCAAGTAGCTTTCATCGCAATTTCTCGCTGCAGCGAATGTAGGCGGAACATATACACATCCTGATCTTCTCATCGCGGCGGGGAACTCGAGCTTTTCTACTGACCCGTAAATCCTTGAAAACCTGGTTCGTGTGATTTATTGAACATCGTCGATTGTGAGCTCGTACACACTCCCCAACAGTGGCAATAAATTTACCTTAATGACGATAAATCATGTAGGACTGCTTTGGACTAGTGGTAAAGCGAGCGAAGGTGTGCATGATAGAAAGAAAGAGATAGAGAGAGAGAGAGAGAGAGAGAGAGAGAGAGAGTAAGAGAGGGGGATAGATAGAGTGAGAGGGAGAGAGAATGAGAGAGAGAATGAGAGAGTGAGAGAGAGAGAGAGAGATGGAAAGTGTGAGAGGATGGTGGAGAACCGAGACAATTATCAATAATCACTATGAAATAGTCGGGGAAAGACGATGGACAAACAGTATTTCTACCTGAATTAGTACGCACATTGCTGTAGATTATAGTCAGGACTCGTGTGACAATCCGAAATACCAATTTAAACTTGTCATCGTGAGTAGCCATCTCTCTCAAATCCTCGCTACTTAAATAAAAGAAGGATAACGAAGCTATAATGCCATATTTACATCAACATATACAAGATTTTAATTATATACGTTTGAGCAATGCGCAATATTTTATTTTTTTATTGAAAATACTAATTTCATCAAATAATAATAATTCGTTAATTGCATAGAAATTTTAATCTATAATTCTACATATAGAATGGAATTTAATTTGATTTGAAAATATTTTGCGCGCAACTACAGTGCCATGAACATTAATACTTAGACAAAATAGTCTTTAAAGGTTTAATTAATTGTGAAATTTTATCAATATTGAGCAAAATAACACTCATTGAAGCAATTATTTAAATGAAAATAAGTCTTGAAGTTTGAAAACTTTTGTCTTATTATTTTAATTTTTAGAATTGTTATTTAAAATTTCTTAATTATTATGTGATAAATAGAAAAAGAGCATTCAACATGAAATTATATAAAACTACATAATAATATATTCATTGAAATATTAATTTTGACCAATAGCATCTATATCTTTACAATAATATTATTATATTACTTTATATCAGTTAATTTTTACATATTTTCACGTTGAATAAATTACATGACCATTAAAAACTATTATGAAATTTTTTTTTTAACAAAATACTTCATTTCAATTAATTGGTTATTTTTTAATTCTTGACCAGACTTCGTTAAATTAAAAGAGACGGTTCGACTTTCAAATTAATGAAATAATAATTTTGTACAGCAATATAACGGTGCGGATTGCTTCGATGTTGTCTTATAATATATTTTACGAAATATTAACGTCTAAATAAATAAATGAATAATAATTAATTTCAAGATTCTATTAAAAAAAATATATTAGTTAAATATAAGTAGTTGCAACATACAATTTAAATTTAAAAGATCCAATTCCCATGTAAATTCATAAATTTTTTATACATTTTTTGTTTAACCTATTTTAATAAAACAACCAATCTGTTCGATTTATAAGATAATTAATTTCTACATGATAGTTTTTAGTTTAAATGAAAGGGCATATTTCTCGAACTTAAGAAATAAAAGGAACTAATGGAAAAAGTTGCATGCAGCGGTTGCTATATGGTTTTTACAAGGTGGAAAAAAAAAATAACCAATGCAGTGATGACAAGTGGTACGTGCAAGAGAAATCTCATTATCTTCGAGCGTATCCTTTATACGCATTGCACGAAAACTTTGTGGACAGTGCATCTTGTTTTATACAATGCATTAGCATAAAAGCAGCATCATTATAAACGAGTGTTCTCAACTCGCTAATGCATAGTAATTAATAAATGGAATATTAGCTACCTGCAGAATTTATGTGTACACGAGACTATTATGGAGTTGAACGAAGTGAAGCTGGTCAGTGACGTTATTTTATGTACATGTGCATGAGCGCAGACATTGGCCAACGCGCTTTCTCCTTCTTTCCCCTTCGGTAATAGAAAAATCAATTTTGTATTGACGATTGAGTATTTAATTGAAGCGATTACAAATTACAAAAGGTTTGAACGTATTCAATCATTATTTAATATGCAACGACTGTAATTCATATGTTCTGTTGAAACGATCCGAATTTTAATGAAAATTAAAAATATACTATTATTACTTAATATTGTAATAAATTAAAAAGAAAAAAAAAAATTAAAAATTAAAAATTAAATATTGAACCGATTCTGAATTTATTCGTAGTTTAACGAGTAATTTTTTAATAATAAGTCAATTTTGTTAGTTTTTAAAGAAAACGTGAATATTGTGAAACAAATATATATATATATTCCAACATTTTGCATGCGTTATAACAAGTTTATTCCAGGATAATTGAGAATTTTGACAACTTGAAGTAATCAGTTTAATATCATGAATATGAATTTTAATAGACTTTGCCTTAAGAGCTCAAAAATGATATGATAAATGACTTTAAGTCTAAGTGGTCGTGAAAATTAAACAACAAGAAATGCAGGAAGATAGATATACTAAATAAAATGTATGCATATGGCGTGGCAACAATACTTAAGTAATAAATTGTTTGAAATAACTAGAGACGGCAATAAAATAAAACTGTATAATTCTAGCATAGAATAAAGTGAAAACCAATAAAAGAAATATATTCAGTTCTATTGAAAATGTTACAACTATAAAGTGAAGTGTTGATAAACTAGGAACTGTAGTGATCGAAAGATGTTAGGTAAGTAAAATAGTGTAGAAAATAAATGTATACAAAAATATGGTAATAAACAGTTTAGAAAATAATAATGTAATTAAGAGAAGAATCGAATGTGGTTATAGAGAAACAGCTGGAAAGATTCATGCTTTAAGAATTTTTCAATGGTATAAATATGAAAGAAATGAATATAAAGTGTAGAATAAGGATGCATTGAAAAGTAAAATAAATTATTGCTGAAAAATAAGAAAGGAATAGGAGAAATAAAATTGAATATAATTATAAAGGAGCGGAAATTGGAAGTACGAGTGCAAAGCGAACAATGAAAGTATAAAAAAAATAGTAGGGTATTCTAATAAAATGATGGAAATAAAAATAAATGCTAAGAGATTTTATTCAATGAAAATAGAAAGAAAAGAATAAAAAATCTTAATACCAGAAATGAAAAAATTGAAATCCGGAAAAATAAAAAATATCAAAAATGCAGTTAAATATAGGAATGAACATAGATAAAAAATTAATAATAAATTAAAAATAGGGAAAAAGAGATCATTATAATAGATAAAGATAAAAATATATAGAAAGTCATTGAAATTTTCCAAGATTAGGAAAAATTTAAAAAAAAAATTCAGACGGAAAAATATTATAAAATACATAAATATAAAGAGACAGAGAAGGAGAAAAAGACAGTATTTAATGTGAATGTAAATTATGTAGTAAAAAATGCAGTGCATCGTTTTTAAGCATTTTGCCATGACAGAAAATCTCGAGGCAAAAGATGAAGGAATATTTATATAGGAAAGAATTGTAACGCCAGAACGATAGATAAAGGTTGGAAAACTGTAAATTCGTCGGACAAAAAAGATGTTAAAAAAGGAACGTACTTTTAATTATTCAGGGAAAAAAGAATCGAAGAAAATTATAATAAATATGATCTAAAGTCATTCAACGACAGCAAATATAAATAAAATGAAAAGGAGGTATTACAACTTATTGTAAATTAACAAGAAAGAAACAAAAAATTACGTACAAAAAACAGATTAACTCAAAAAGAGTATTAAAATTATCATGAAACTATGAGATTTATAGATGTAATGTAGAGCAAGTAGAAAGTATAAGATGAGTAATCAAAAAAGTATATATAGCCATTTCAAGAATTAAGATGAAGAAAGTAAACTAAAAACTGAAAAGGCACAATGATAAAACATGGAGCATAACAAAGCAAAGTATAAGAAGAAACTAAGAAAATGGATGGTAGAAGGAGATTGCATAATAAAATATTATTTATACCGTCAAAAGTAATAAACATAAAAAAAGGGAATTTTTAGACACACGGAAGAGAGGAAAATAAGATAAGTTATAATCAAAAAAATTCATTAAAAATGCATTAAAACTGAATATGAGTGGAGGAGAGACGAAAGCTGAATAGTTCATGGAATTGGAATGCGCTTATATTAAAAAATTATTGTAAATCTTTCTTCTCGGAATTCGTTCATTCCAATTTGGTCTTCTGCATTGCTGCGTCACAAATCGCCGTAAGATGAACGTTTTAAGTACTCGAAACTACTTGATTGTTTGGCAATACCAACTACACGATAACTGCATACATAATCATTCAAATAATCCGATTTACCCAATCGGTCTTGTTAGGGAGATCTACCAATCTACCCCTGCCAATCATTCGCTACGTAGGGGGTGAATATTATTACATAGATAACTATTAAATCGAATGATTTGCGTTTATTAACATTAGTAGAAAATACAACGAATAAAGGCGAAGATTAAAAAGATTAAAAATAAGTATACAAAGATTTTAAGGATAACTTCTGGGAAAATAATAAGAAATTACTAAATGAACAAGAAGCTAAGGAAAAATATGAACTAGCCGTTTTCTATGGAAGTAGATAATTAAAATATAATGTGAAAGCAATTTTACATTCAAACAAATAATAATAGAGAGGAATACAAAAATATGTAATTAAAAATGATCGGATTAATGCTTATGTAAAAATTGTATGTAAATTTACAATGACTAATAGCAAAGAAGGTAATTTATATGATTAATAATATTAAAAACTACGTAATTAGTGCAAAATGAGAGATAATATTACTATATATTTCGAGCGAAGAGAGAGAACTGTTCATAAAGTAAATAAGAAATTGAGAAATAACAGAAGATTAAGATAAATGATCAGCAGACTGAATTGTGGAATAATATTTAGAGAAAAATATATGTTGGAAAGTAAAAGGCCGATGTATTTAAAGAATATAGGGTGAGCAAACCGGTATGGCCAGAAGGTTCTATGCGTCTATCATTATTTAATGTGCACATATAAAGAACTAACAAACAAACCAACAAATGACAAGGAAGTAATAAAAATAAAAAGATGAAAAAAAAAATTATAAATTATGTAATGATACTAAAGTTCTATTATTATATTCTATTACATTCATTAGTTATATTATTAGAAAATAAAGTATAAATAGAAAACATGAAATAGACAGAAAAGATTAAAAACAAAGTCTATTGTAATTTTTTTTAATTTACAGGTAAAATAAAAAAAGTTGAAAAATAAAAGAAAACAAAAGTAGTAAAAGAACTAAATTGTAGTAGTAGAAAAAATGAAAGGGAGATAAAAGCATAAATGATAAAGAGAAAAAAATAGTTTTAGCAATAAAAGAATTTTGAACATAAGAGCAAGAATTATCAGGGAACGTTATAAAAGAAAAATTAAATTATACATAATATTTAGACAAAAAGAGTATATTTTTCGCAGTGGAATTACGAAAAAATTTTATTTTTAATAGAAGAATAAAAAAAGGATGAAATACGCGTTAAGATTGGATACAGAACAACGGAATTAAATTGTAACAGTAAGGACTAAGATATATTAATATAAAATATAAGATATAAATAATTAATAATAGAAAAGTGGAGATACAACTAAGGTAACATCAAAATAGTCTTGAATATAAATAAGAAATCAAAAAGTATAGATTATGAGAGAACGAATTTAAAAATTCAGTTCTCATTTTAAAAGAATTTAAAAGAATATTGTTCGAAAATTATGTAGTTTTCTCGTCTCAAACTGCCAATGTTTCGATAGTTTTATGATAATTTGCCGCCGGCCCTAGCAAATGCTCGAGATGGAGTTTAGTGGAAGAAGAGAATGAAGAAAATATCGTCCTTTTTGATGAATATACGATTTATTATACATTTTTAAAATACAATTACATATTGTTGTCTTGGATGCATCTGGAGTTTAATGTTTCACTTCATCATATCATGACTGATCCTCGAGTCATGGACGGACTGGACTTTGTGTACTCACAGTGATACGGTGGCCTTGATCTCAACGCAACCAACGCAACCAACGCAACCAACGCAACCAACGCAACCAACGCAACCAACGCAACCAACGCAACCAACGCAACCAACGCAACCAACGCAACCAACGCAACCAACGCAACCAACGCAACCAACGCAACCAACGCAACCAACGCAACCAACGCAACCAACGCAACCAACGCAACCAACGCAACCAACGCAACCAACGCAACCAACGCAACCAACGCAACCAACGCAACCAACGCAACCAACGCAACCAACGCAACCAACGCAACCAACGCAACCAACGCAACCAACGCAACCAACGCAACCAACGCAACCAACGCAACCAACGCAACCAACGCAACCAACGCAACCAACGCAACCAACGCAACCAACGCAACCAACGCAACCAACGCAACCAACGCAACCAACGCAACCAACGCAACCAACGCAACCAACGCAACCAACGCAACCAACGCAACCAACGCAACCAACGCAACCAACGCAACCAACGCAACCAACGCAACCAACGCAACCAACGCAACCAACGCAACCAACGCAACCAACGCAACCAATGAAGAAGATGAAGTTAAGATCTATCAACCTTATATGCTGCACAGGAGGGTTGATGTATCATCTATCAGTCCTTCCATCAGTGGATCACTTAATAAAAACTTGATCACAACTTTTCACCATCGATAAGCGAGATAACTGATTCCTTCTTGGCTTCCCCACACGCGGACAGCGAAGGAATTACTAGACATTGACAATGACAACGTCGCAAAAAGCAAAAAGTGTAATCTTTGGCAGCAGCGCCTTCAATTTGTTAGAGGCTCACCCCATTGTGGGTATTAACGTTGCGTGGGGGGGTGCAGAGGGATGACAGAGGGGCGCAGAGAGGGGAGGGGTGTTCTTGGTAATGCGTCGCTGCTTGGCCAATGCAAGTGGCAACGTGTGAATATGCAAGCGGCAACAATGTATGTGTGATGTGTTTGATGAGGAGACGAGGATTGGCCGATGTCGCACGAGCTGAGTTTCTCGTTACAACGAATTTTAGGAAATATTTTTCTACTCGATTGTTTATATATTTCTGTCATTCACGAAATGTTCTCGCATAAACAGACTCGCCGCGCTCTTGCTAGCAACGACAAAGGTCACTCATTCCACTTTTTGAAGTTCAATATTTTTCATGTAATTTTTTCCCAACTGATAACCTTCGCGAGATTCTCTGTTTCTCGAACAAATATGGAAAGGCAAAATTAATCAATAGTCAAAACCATAAAATGTACAATATTCGACATTTAAAAAATATATGGATTAAATAATAATGATAGTACATGGAATTATAATTGGCTATTTAAATTAATTTTAATATCAATTTTTCAAAACGCACATCAGGATAATTTAATGAATATTTGACGATGTAGTCAATATATAATTAACTAGAGTCAAAATATTATCAATACTAATATTAGTTAGTCTAATGCCCAATATTGATACAAATTTAATTTGAATAACAATATAATTTTAATGGATAATATTATTTAAGTCATTTATCAGGCAAGTTAAGAACTTAAAATTTATATTTGCAGTAAGAAAATAACGAAATCAATCATAATGTAAATATTCCCTTCTATAAAAAGTTTACAAAACATAAAAAATTGATATGGTAAATATATTGTACAATAAGTAAATTATAAATTTTGAATATTGCCAGATATAACAATAGAATAATATAATGTATAATATAATAACAAGTATATATTTTATTATATTATATCAATACAATATTATATGCTTAGATATATGCTTCGAAAAATGTATCTCCATATTGATTTTATTGCTCACTTACATTCATTAATTTGCATTTTTAATTGCTACTTATACTTAATTTACCTATCATTATTAACCATAGATTTATTCGAGTATGTTTAAAAAACGTTTATTATATAAAACTATTATGCTCATAATTTATTTACCTCGATCAAGCATGTTTGTTTTAGTTGAAATTTATAAGAAGAATCGCCAGAATATATTCAATGCCGTTTCAATAAGCAATTTTACAATCCGTCTAAAACTAATGAAATTGAACGAATAGTGAAAAAATGAGATATTATAATGTAATGTTAATAGTATCTATTTCAAATATAATATAATAATACATCAATTAAATTCCTAATTTATTCCTATAAATTATTAACAATATCTTAATATTTAGAACATTATTAATTGAACTTAAATTTTTGCTATTTAAATGCGTTATGTAGATAATTAAATAATTTCAAAATACAAACTTATTTAATTTGAATATAAGTAATTGGAAATGGAATTAGAATATAAAATAAAGTCTTTTATAGGCTTTTTCCGTTCAAAGTGAACGGAAAATCAATAATTCGGTTGAATGAGATTAAGAAATAGAGATCTGCCGCTTCATCGATTTGAGTGGAAATATTTTTAATTTTTATTTAAAAAATTAATGGCTTTGTGAAAGAGTGAATTAACCGTGAATGAGTATGGATAACAGATTTTGACAATAGATTCTCGACATAAATAATCCAGAAACGACTGTGCGCTTAAACTTCTACGATGAGCATTTTATCAACATTTTAGCCAAGCGATACATCATCTAATCAACAATAGATTGGAATTTTATTTGAAGATCTAAGGTCAATGATTGTATTAAGCAATAATATAAGAAAAATTAATCGAACGAACAATAAAATGCGTAATAAATAACATAAAAATTATATTTTACATGACATGGAAATTTTATTACTAAATTATTTCAAGGTTACAATTATAAAAATAAACTTTTCAGGCCAATTACTATTATAGTAACACGTTAATTTTATACATTCAATATTGTTAATATATATAATTTTTAATAAAGTAATTGATAATGAAATGTTTCAGTAAAGCTAGCTGAAGGAAGTGCTCTAATATCATTAATATATTATTAAGAAGGAAAAATTTTGTTTGTACCTGTTGATGCGTGGTAACAAGATATAAATTCGTGTTAATCAACATTAACTTACTCTAAAATCTAATTGACTAATTAATTAAGATTCTCAATATTCGATTATTTTTTCATTATGCTTCCATTAAATGTTATTAATAATTACAATATATGTGTGTCAAAATTTTAACAAAAAATGATTTTATATAACATGTGACATATATTATTTGCAAACTATAATTATTTCTTCTAATTATTTTATTTATTAAGATTTATGTAATACATTTATATAGTATTTATATAATACGTAATATGCAGTAATGATTAATCATTATTAATTTAACTAAAATATTTTAATTATTACTATTGTATATTGAATATTGTAATAATAAATTTTCCTTTAGTAATTAAATCTAATGCATCGGCTGTTGAAAAAAGGTTAAAAATGGCCAAAATGTGAAAAAATTTTATATTAAAAATTAGTAAAATATTTCAAAATAAACTGATTTTTATGATGTACTTGATAAAGCAAAAAAGAAGGACTGGCTTAAAGCGCTAAATTTGTTTTTATCCGCATGATAAAGTCCTCAGGAGGTTTTCAAAATGGTAACGTATGGTCATACGTCTAATAAAGCTATCTAGTCAATGCCAATAAATAAATCCTTTTTGGTATTTGGCTTTGTCTGACCGAAGACTAATAAGGATAGAAGCCCCAGTCGTATACACTTAAAGCCATGCGTGACAAAGAGGGAAATAGGTAAAGATAACAGCATAATACGATAGATATAAGAAAAAACAAATCTCATCAGATTCTTTTGTTTCGTTTGTCTAAAAATCTTGGATTTTTTATTTTTTCGTTTTAATCATAAATTTATAACTGAGAAATTGATAAGAAATTTGAATCCTAATAGATATTATTTATACTATAAGTGACAGTTTTTAAATTATGACTTAATTTCGAGAATTTAATCAAATATTATAAAATTCAGAAAATCAGTATTACAACAAAATGTAATAAATGATTAAGTAAGACTTTTAAATTGTATGACTTTAAAAAACTGTGTACAATATCTATTTACTTAGGGTTTGTGTGCCTAATAAATGATAAATTACTCAAAAGAAATTAATTTAACAGAGAACGCATATTTTCAGAATATAAAACAATATTAAATTTTTCTCTAATAATATTATTTTTAAAGCACTAAATTAGCTCGTAACATTTTATTTAAAATTTTATCTTTTTATTTAGTTATATAAGTATATTTAATTTTTTCGAAAAATTGATTAAGATTGCAATTCAGAATCATATTTATTCGAATAATGGGATATTTGAAGCTCATTATCCAATTATTCCATTGCAATTCGAATTTATATTTCAATCCACGAAATTACATTTCTATTAAAATGAAAGTACCATTATATTGATGTTTATTTGTAGATCGTTTATATGGTATATAGATATAGAATTTTATTTTAATTATTTAAATAATTTTCGCAGTTTAATTTATAAATTAGAAAAATCAGTAAATAGAATATAAATGTAAAATTAATACTAAATATATTTATAATAATATTTTAGTTTTGAACATAAATTTTAAAAAAAAAAACCTATGTGTCACGTATCTAACGTGAATATTCAATTTTGTATAATTTTGAATAATTCGTTTATCGTTAATGATTATAATGGGAGACAAATGCAGGTCATAGCTTCTCCATATTTCTATAACGTCGATCGTGTTTCATTATTAATAAATATATAATTTTATAAATTTATCAAAAATGTTCAAATTTGTTGGTAAATTAAATTTATAATATCCATAAAATTATTAAAGAATAAGTTATTTATTAAGACAACATGATAATTAAAGTTGAATTTTCATTGTATTTATTAATAATTTATAATTAATTAGATGAATATAAACATAATAGTATTATTATATATGAAATGAGTATTGGTACTGTTATGTATGATTCTAAGGCAATACTATACGATGTTGTCTAAGCAATAGAATATAAAATTAACAACAACTAAGATTTAATAATAAAGGGGTAAAATCGTAAATGACCCTAATCATAGAACATTTAAGTACAATAATTATAAATATTTATTCATTTAATATACCTGAATTTTCTTGTTTTTCTCGATTTTTGTCAATTTCGAATGATTAGTGTATCTCCTTAACATTGGTGACAATCTTTAAAAAATATTTCCAATAATACAAAAAAATACACAATTTTTCTCTTTATTTTTATTCATTTAAGAAAAATATGTATTTTATTTTGAAGTCTGTTTGTTATGAATTAAAAGCAGTCCAATAAAGTCATAAAGTACGGTAAAGGCACGGTAGTTGCTACTCGTGGAGAATCGTTCTTTAACGGAATTATTTTATAAGAAATAGATAGGGAAAACGATAGCGTGATAGCCCTACGATTTGCAATGTTAATCAAAATGTTTAAATTGAATTTCTAACGAAGTATTTCTCAATCGCATACCAAGAAGTTTCGCGAGGGTACATTGATGTGACTTTCGCTGCTCACTAATCATTTATACCTCAATTACCGCAGCCATTTTCCTCGAAGTGTAAAATTCTCGTTTGCCAAACATTAATTAACCACACATGAATATAGTTCTCAAGTTATGAAATATCTTGTAGCATTCGCTCCTTATTGCGACTGTAAAAACGATCTCCCTATTTATCTTCTTGAGGCATATATAAAACATT